GAGCAAATGTCAGAAGTTTCTCGATTCGGATTCAGTCCTACCTGTGCCTAGGAGTTTTTACTCTCCACGGCTCTTGGCTCCATCCTCTGGGCTTTGGTTCCTCCCTGCGAGGCATCGTTCCATCATCAGAAAGGCACACATGTTTGTGGCTGCCTAGTTTTCTCAGCATGCTGCCATATGATGACAGAAGCAGACATTGCTGCCGGGACAAGCCGAGGGACACCAAGTTGCCAGGAGCCACCGGAAGCTAGGAAAAGGAAAGGAAGGATTCTACCCAGAGTCTCAGAGGGAGCATAGCCCTGCTCCCACCTTGATTTCAGACTTCTGGCCTCCAGAACTTGCGAGAATAAATTTCTGCTGTTTCGAGCCACCTAGTTTGTGGGATTTTGTTACAGCACCCACAGAAAAGGAATACATTTACCATAGGGAGGGCTGGGGGAGCTTCAAAGCCATAGCAAGTGCCAGTTCCTTCACGTTAAAGTGTTTCCTTTAGCTTCTCTCTCTTGTCACCTTTAATACAGTCATGCACCATATAATGACGTTTCAGTCAGTGATGGACTGCATACACGATGGTGGTCCCATAAGATCAGTACCATATAGCCAAGCGTGTAGTAGGCTATACCACCAGATCTGTTAAGCACACTCTGTGATAGCCACACAACGACGAAGTTGCCCAACGACATATTTCTCAGAAGGTATCCCCTCGTTAAGGGACACATGAGCATAAGAAAGCAGGCAGCACTTTCAACACTTTCAATCCCCTAGGTGGGTAGGTACATTTTCTACTTTCCATGTAACTGCAGGCAACATTGCTATGAAATTCTGCCACTACATAACAAAGAACCCCCTTCCTCTAGATTCCAAAAGTATTGACATCACTTTCCTGCAAGTCCCCACCCACAGCTTTAACAAGACTATAGGCTTCTATTCACAATTTCTTCAAGGCATTTTAGTTCTCTACCAAAACTTTTCTCAGAGCACACCTACATTTTAGTTTTTTGCTCCATCAGTACCCAACTCTGAGGTGCCCAAATCTGTATTAGGTATCTACTACTATGTAACAAATTGCCCCCAAATTCAGCAGATTGAAATAACAAGCATTATTCACACAGTTTCTGAAAGTCACGCATCTAGAAGGTGCTTAGTAGGATCTCTCAAAGTTGTAGCAAGCTGTTGACTGCCCCAGTCCTTGCAGTCCCTGAAGCTCTGAGTGGGGCTGAAGGACATGCTTCCAAGCTCACTCATGTGGTGGTTGGCAGGAGGCTTCTGATCCTTGTCTCATGGGCCTCTCCACAGGGCATGCTCATGACGAGGTTTCCCACAGAGTGAGTGATCCAAAGAGGGAGGCAGCAACCAAGATGGAAACTGCTTTTTGTTGAAATAATCTAATCTGAAAGGGGATCTGTCATCATTTCTGCTGTATGTCACACAGACCTACTCTGGTACAATCTGGGAGAGGACTGGTACCGTATGTAAGACGATTGCATAGGAATCTCAGGAGGCGGGGATGGCTGGGGCTACCACAGATGATCTGTCATTTGGCACATAAAAGCTCATGGTTATGGTATCATTAATTTAGCTTTGTACTGTTTAATGTTTTTAAATTCTTTTTATTTTTTAAGGTCAACATTGCCAATGGTTATGAGCTGAACTGTGTCCCCCTCAAACTCATACTCTGAAGTCCCAATCACCAGCACCTCAGAATGTAAGGTATTTGGAGATAAGGTCTTTAAAGACGTGATTAAGTTAAAATGAGGCCATGAGGGTGGGGTCTTAATCCAATTTGACTGGCATCCTTGTAAGAAGAGAGACACCAGAGGCACTTAAGAACAGAGGGAAGACCACGTGAAGAGGCAGCAAGAGGGCGGCCATCTGTAAGCCACAGAGAAGACCTCAGAAGAAATCAACCCTGCTGACACCTCAGTCTTGGACTTCCAGATCCCAGAACCATGAAAAAGTAAATTCCTGTTGTTCAAGTCCCAGTCTGTGGTATTTTTGTTACGGTAGCCCTCGCAGACTGATATATCAATCTTCTGAAAGCTATCTGAAAATATCTTGCTGTGGCCAATCTATATTTACTCTTCTTTTAAAAAATCATGTTTGTTTTCATATATATAACTATACATCAATGTATATAATTTGCTTTGTTTCCATACAAAATGTATACGATAAGATTTATTTCTCATCTAATATGATGGTCCATGCTTTCTCAAGGAGAACTGAAACTTCTTTCACTTCACATTATGGCCCATTTTCAATCGAATCTTCCACTTTCTACAGGTGGAAGTTGGAGGGATCTATGGCCCCTAGGATGGAAATGTGTCAGAAGATGCCTCTCCCTGGCTTATTGTGGATTGAAGTTAGGGATCGCATTGCAATGGAAAAGTCGTTTTCAAGGAATTACCAGAGCAGTGCAGCTCAAGATCAAACCACTAACCTTCCGGGGCCAGGGCCAGGGGACTTGTACTTAGGCGAGTTAGACAAGAGACAAAGGGGACATCACAATGAAGAGAAAGCAGATTTTGGGCAGCAGTTCCCAGAGAAATTCTCAACCCAAGGAGCAATTGGCAGTGGGAACTCTTAAAACAGCCCTCCAGCCTCTGTGTGGGCAAGTCTGGAGGAACAGTGCTGGAGGACCTTCAAGGACTCCAAGAACATGCTTTCTGTTTGTTCTTTGCTCTGCCTCTCATCACACAAACTTCTTCTCATTTATTTATGTTTGCCGTGTCTTCTGTAGAGATCTGGATAATAAGCATTATGTGTTTAGTACCCATGTTGACTTGCAATTTAATGAAACATATATATTTTATTTTACTTTTTTGCTGAGGAAGATCCACCTTGAGCTAACATCTGTGCCAGTCTTCCTCTATTTTGTATGTGGGTCACCACCACAGCATGGCCACCCATGAGTGGTGCTGGTCCAAGCCCGGGAACCAAACCTGGGCCACCAAAGTAGAGCATCCTGAACTTAACCACTAGGCCATGGGCCCAGCCCTAATGAAACATATATTTTAATCTATATTTCTCTGATGAACCAAATCAGAACAAAGCAATGTCTTTTGCCCACCTTGCAATTAAAGTAAGAAATTGAGCATGTTTTTTATTTTACTTTAGCTGTTTTCTTACCTTAGAATATATTATAAACCCAATCTACTACAGAACCAATTAGTCAAGTTTTTATTTTTTAACTCATGTTTTTCCCGAAAAACATTTTTAGCTTCTGAACATTGTAAGTATTTTTTTTAAAAACAAATACTTATTGGTTGGCTTCACAGGGACCACCAATCCTCTTGGATCTTGACTTCCTTATTTTCAAGTTACTAATTTTGATTCTTTTTAATGTCCTAGGGAGTAAGTCTTTGAATAATTTTTAAAGGAAAGTCATATGAGTGAAATTGTTTCTAATTCTTAGATGTCTGAAAATATCTTTGCACTGCCTGCACTCCTGAGTTAAATTTGGTTTGGAATAGTATGCTTAGATTATGAAGCCTCCTCTTTAGAGAAGCAGATATTACTCCACTCAGAGCTGGTGAGTAACAACTGAAGCCAGCCTTATTTTTTTCCATTTGTGGTTAAACTTATTTTCTGTCTGGTTGCTTATATGATATTCTCTTTACTCTAGATTAGCAGATTATATCCAGCTACAGGTTTTTTCCCATTAAAATCTTGATTTATTTTACACTAAAGAAAATATTTTTCTTTTATGTCTGTTATTATTATTTCTGATCCTCTTGTTTAGCATTTTCAGGAATATTTGTGATCCATAGGTAGGATTTCTATGATTTCCACTCTGTTATCATCTTTTGCCATTTCCTCTTTATCCTCTACTTCTACAGTCTTGGAAAGCTAGCTCATAGATTACACTGTAGCCATTATTAATTCTGCTTGCTGGTGCATCTATAGTAGTTTTGCCATTGGTTGCATCTTTCTCTTATTTTGGCTGGCTCCCTGTTTGATAAGGGCAGGGAACACGGAGTGACCTAAACCTACCTGGATGTGCCCTCGTGTCTGGCAGGACCTCACCTCAGATCTAAACCTGGAGGATGGACTGATCTGGACAACCCTGGCCCAGCTTCCAGCAGGACTCATCTGTCTGGCTCTGTTCCACCAGGGTGGATGTGGACCACTTTCTGCTCCCAGGGCTCTTCTGCCTCCAGAGCATTTCCTAAGAGAATCCCCACCCCCATGTGCCCTTCATCCTCATCCCTTCTACTCACTCTGTTGTTCTGAGAGATGTGCTCTTGGCACTGATATAAAAAGAGATGTCTTGAAGGGGGAGAGTTGCATGGGGCCCAATTCTGGCCCTCTTGGAACCTAATTCTCATGCAGAGTGGGAGCAGTGGTCTGGTTTCAGGTTACAGTAGCTCTGAGCCCCTGAGCCTGAGCAGAGAGGAGGAGTAAAGCCTTCTCTTGGGGTCTTGCTGGCTATTTTGTGGTGGGATTAGAAGATGAAACAGATATTGCTGCTGTGGTGGGTGTTTCCTCAAACCTACCCCATTGGCACTGTACCTGGTGTAAATTCCCTCTAGATTTCTATCAATGCTGATACTGTACAAGCTTTTATGTTTTTGCAGAGCATCATGTGTGTTTTAATAGGAAATAGAGCGCATCTCAAGCTAATCCAATGGTTAATTTTCACATATGCCTGCTGCACTCCCCCGCCCCTGCCAGAGAACAATGTATTCATTATACATATAGACAATGATTTTTCAATTACAATAAGGGCTAAGAATTACTCCACTCATCAACTCCCATGGCAGCTGAACGATGCTTGAGGGTGGAATTCTAAAAGATGATAGAAAAGGGTTAAACAGGAGCATCTGAGGCCTCCAAAGCAAGCAAGGCTGTCTTGCAAAATGGCCTGTAGAACGGTGGTAGCCATTTCCAGAAGTTCGCAATCACGCCGACTCATCCTCTACTACATTTAGCAGATAGTTCACCAGCAAGAACATGCCTTAAACACACATCAAAAGGAAAAATATAACACAATGTGTCTTTACCTTGTAATGAATTCTGGCCACCAAACTCCGCTGGAGAACCCTTTCACGAAAATTCACTGCTTTCAACAGAAAGGTGAGATTACCGACTGTGTCCATGTTAAATGCCAGGAAACTGAAAGAAAAACACAGTGACCATCATTATTATCTTGTCCTCACCAAAGAATTCATTTCAAAGAAATAGATGAGGTTTGTTTTTTCAAAACAAGTTTTCTTCCAATAGAAAAGCAGTGTAAGTACGCATAACCACTCCCCTCTCACTTGCTGTGTTCGTGCTTCTTTCGGCATTTTTCTGATGACTGCTTGGCCCCGGTTGATCCTACGTGGTTGTCCTTGTAGCATAAAGATAGTTTGTTTTCCTGCTTTTCGCTTCCTGTTTTGCTAAAGTAGCGTTCAATATTTTACAGTCTTTCTTCATTAACAGGTATATAATTTCCATCAAGTATGTTTATAATAATTTACTCAACCATTGTTGGGCATTTGTTATAATAATGATTATAAATGAATTAGTAATCAAATACATCGGTCACAAAGTATTGGTCAATGAATAATATTTATTAAATGCATCATGCATCAGGAACGATCCTAAGTATTTTCTGTGAATTACTCAATAATCTCAGTAATTTTATGATGCAGATACTGTAATTATCCAATATACCATTTGAGGGACTGAGGCTCAGCAGGAGTCAGTGACCTGTTCAAGGTCACATGGGTAAAACACGCTCACATTGGGATTTGTCCTAAGGGACACCGGTGTTTAAGGGAAGGGTAGCCCTGGAGGGCAGTGAGAGGGGTGTGGCCGCCCACAGGCCAGAGTGTGCCCCAGAGATGGTGGCTTTCTTTAGCAGGTAGTAATTTCTATCTTCTCTGTATGGCATATGAGGAAACTGAGGCACGGGGGAGTTAAGAGGCCAAGGCACAAACAAACTCAAATTACCCAAGTCTCCCTCTAAACCCTACAGCTTTTTCATCACGCACTTTACCTTTTATGCTAATTTTGTACCCTCATCCCCCACGCAGCAATGAAACTTCTGTCTTTAGAACTTAGACTGACAGCTAAGAGGTTAATTCACACTTAGAGTTTCCCACAGCTCAGGCTTACCCCTTGGCCCTTGGGAAGTAAGTTATTATAAGACCCAAAGAGATTTTTCATTAATTAAAATTAAAAACCCACAAGTAGCTGTTGTTGTTGCTTAATCAGAAGCCACAAAAGAAAATTAAGAAGCAATCGATAGTATGCTTTTGAGAATGCCAAACTCTGAATTAATACTTGCCCTCCATTTGGACGAGAAAGATGGGAGGTTATTTACATGCCACTTATCAGGAAAGTTAAATTATATAAATACTTATTCTGAATCTGACCTTTAGAAGGTTGATTTTCTGTCTCAGTCTCTTTAACAAAAAATGTAAAGAACTTTCATACTTTATGGAAAAGTATGTTTTAGTCATTCCAAGGACTGTTACTATGCAGCCTGGAGACTGTGAGTGTTGTTATTAGAAACCACCTTCCTTGGGGTGTTTACTGTAGAACTCTGTCCACCTGAGGTTGTGAACTACATATGCTACAGGAAGTGGATCTCATCCACCCGCCTATTATGAGTCACACGTGAAGCCTGACCATGCCATGCAGACTCTCTTAACAATAGGAATACCGCTCAAGGAAACCTCCTCGTATTTTACAAGAAGGTCAAAATGACTCCAAACTTACGTAAAATTTAAATTAAACTCAAATGCACATCATTGGTCATCAGGGAAATGCAAAAAAAGGCTTGTAGATGAATGTTGACAGCAGTTCTATTCAAAGGAGTGAAAAACTGGAAATATCCCAGGGGTTTATCCATCAATAAGAGAATAGAAAACAAATCCCAGTATATCCACAAGACAGAATGCTACTCAGCAATAAAAAGGGACAAACTGGGGCCGACCCTGTGGCCGACCAGTTAAAGTTCCATGCGCTCCACCTCAGTGGCCCAGGATTTGCGGGTTTGTATCCAAGGTGTGGACCCACTCCACTCATCAGCCATGCTGTGGAGGCATCCTTCATACAAAGTGGAGGAAGACTGGCACAGATGTTAGCTCAAGGCTAACCTTCCTCAAGCGAAAAAACAGAGGAGGACTGGCAATGGATGTTAGCTCAGAGTGAATCTTCCTCACACACACACAAAAATGGAACTAATATACATGACAACACGAGTGAATCTCAAAAAGCATTATGCGGGGACTGGTCCAGTGGCGCAGAGGTTAAGGGCACACGTTCCACTTTGGTGGCCCGGGGTTCACCGGTTGGAATCCCGGGTGTGGACATGGCACCACTTGGCAAGCCATGCTGTGGTAGGTGTCCCACATATAAAGTAGAGGAAGATGGGCACTGATGTTAGCTCAGGGCCAGTCTTCCTCAAGAAAAAACCAAAATCATTATGCTGAGTTAATAAGCCAGCTACAAAACAGTACGTGCTGTATGGTTCCACTTAGGTGGAATTCCAGAACAGGAAAAGCTACGGTAGAAAGCTATCAGAACAGTGGCTGCATCTGGGGTTGTGGTCACAGAAATTGACTGAAAAGGAACACCAGAGAACCTTCTGGAGTGTTGCTAATGAGCTATAACTTAATAATGGTTTTAGTTACACAGGTATATGCAATTTGCCAATACTCAATGAATGCACACTTAAGATTTGTGCATTTCTTTCTTTTCTTTTTTTTCTTTTTGAGGAAGATTAGCCCTGAGCTAGCATCTGCTGCCAATCCTCCTCTTTTCACTGAGGAAGCCTAGCCCTGAGCTCACACCCGTGCCCATCTTCCTCTACTTTATATATGGGACACCTATCACAGCATGGCATGCCAAGCAGTGCCATGTCCGCATCCGGGATCCAAACTGGCGAACCCCAGGCCGCTGAAGTGGAACTTGTGCACTTAACCGCTGTGCCACGGGGCCAGCCCCCAAGATCTTGCATTTCATTGTATTCAAATTCTACATAGGGCAAAAAAACTGTAACCAAATATTGAGCTCTAGTTAACGATGTTCATGTTTCTTAGAAGTATGCTGTCTGCAGTTTACTCTGAAATGCATCAAAAAAAAAAAGATGAATTGATGGATGGGTTGAGGGGCTGATACGTGGATATATATGTGACATAGCAAGTATAGTAACATGTTAGCAGTAGGGTATAGATGGTAGGTATATGACAGTTCATTAAAATTCTTTCAATTTTGTTAAATATTTGAAAATGTTCATAATATAATATGGCAAAACATTCAAGCACAATACAGAATCTGGACTTTCCTCAACCCCCACAGCCTCCTAGGGATCATGGGCTGATAAGAGCAGGGGGAGCTCCAGGGGAAGCCCCTTGGGGGAGGGGGAGAGACACACTCACTGGGACAGGAAAGGACTGAATGGAGCTGCTCGCAGAACCAGGTACAGCCCCTCTCAGAGCCAGGCCCTGCCCTCCTCACCTAGTCTCATGGCGCCTTTTCAGCACCGTGACTGACTCTCCTACAGTCCAGATGAGGGGTATCTCTGGGTGCCCACACAAATGGCTGCCTACATGGAGGGGTGTCAGGGCACCGGGAAGTTCTCAGCCCATCTTTCCTCATGTCCCCACCTGCTCATGGGTTCTTCTCTTGAATATAACTGCCTTCGAACTGCTCTTCTAGAACATAAGCTCCGTGAAGACTGGGAACCCACAGTCGCTGCCGCATCACAAGCGCCTAGAGAAGTTCCCAGGACACAGAGTGTGCTGAAAACATGCTGGATGACAAAGGCTGCTCTTAATAGACATAAAAATCAGAGTGAGTAAAGTTTTGGGACTTAAGTAGATAAACACAGACAGACTGAATCAGTAAAATCTGGATGTGTGGGAGAGAGATATGTACTGTTTTGGAGGTTAATAACCGAGACAAAAATAAATGGACTGGAACTTTCCAAATATTTACAATTGGAATACTGCCTTTGGCACATCTCAAGTCTATCCTGGAAAATCTGTTAGGAATAGAGATTTGCATATGAGTGAGAGTCTGCTATGCTTCCAAAATGATGCAAACAAGCCCTGCTCTGCTATCTGGAAAAGAAATGAAAGGACAGATGATGTGCGGACAGTTTGGGAAGAAGTTTCCTGAATGGATGAAACTGATTCTGATGAGAATTGCATTGTTCTTTCAAGTCCTTTTATGTTGGAAGCTTTTCAAACTAGTAACCTGGGAGGGGAATGCTATCAGTACTGTAAAATGCCCATTCAGGGCTGGAAATATTAAAAAGACGCACAGGACAAATTGAGGCATTCAAACTGAGGAGACTTAAGTGAAAGAGTCTTGGGATATGGAAGCTGATGTTTTCAAGCTTTAAGGTAGACTACAGTTTGAATAAACAGGAATCTGAGCAGTAGTAAAAAAGAAAAAAAGGGAGGGTGGGGGGAAGGACAGACGACAGATTTCTTAATTTCACTTCATGCCAGCAGATATGAAAAGTCCCATACTCTCATTTATTCTATTTCCCATGTTCGTAATCAGGATTCTAATATTATATTTTCTAATGAATAGTTTCCTTGGAAATTAGTTCAATACACTTGGGTGATGGAGACCAATAATCTGTCTCCAAATGAAAATAATAATTTAAAAAAACACAAAAGAAAAAAAGCGTAATAAGTGCCTCAAAAGCAGAATAAAGGAGACAATATATTTATGAGCATAAGTCAATGAAGTAGAAAGCAAAGGTATGACAGAGGGTCGATAAGGGGAGAAGCTGGTTGTTCGAAAAAATAATAAACTAGACAAATATCTGGTGAGATTAAACAATAAAGAAGAGAGAAGGTACAAGAAATAATTTTAGGAATGACAAACGGGACATAACTACAGATCTAGCAGAAGTTAAAAAGATAATTAGAGAATAGTACAAAAGCCTTAAACCAATAAATTCGAAACCAAATGGATAAATTCCTAGAAAAATACCATATACCAAAACTGTCACAAGAAGAGAGAGCCTAAATGGTCTTAAAACAATTAAACTAATTGAATCAGCAGATTAAACATGCTCCCAGACCCAGATAGTTTTCAGATAACTTATCAAATTCTCCCACAGAATAAGAAACTGCTCCCCGCATAACTGTATGAGAACAGTAAAACTTGACATAAATCCAAATCAGGGAAGTACAAGAAAGGAAAATGATAAGCCAATAAGTAAACAAAAATTCTAAAAAATAATACTACTAGCAAACCAAACCCAGGAAAATGTAAAAATAATAATGAAGCATGAAAAATTGAACGTTTCTCAGGGACGCAAGGGTTGTTTCACATTAAAAGATTTACAAGGGTTATTTCTCAAATTACCAGCTAAAGAACTATCATAAGATCATTTCAATTGGTGCAAAAAATCATTTTCAGTAAAATTCATCATCTAGCAATGACAAGAATACGTTCAAAATAATAGACGGAGCTTCTTTAGGAAGCAAAGTGTGTCTACCAAAAACCTCAGCAAATATTCTTACTAGAAAGGTTAAACTAATTCTTTTCAAAACCAGGAATAAGACAAAAGAACAGCTTCTACAGACAAAAAAATCAAAGGAATAACAACTGAGGAGGAAGAAAGAAAAACTCCTTATTTACAGATGATGCAATTGTCTATGGAAAAAATAACCCCAAGGAATCTACAGATACATTTAGAAGAAATGCTTTCCAGGCAGGTTTATATGCAGAAGTCAACTGCATTTATAATAAACCAGCAATAACCAAAAATGTAATTTAAAAAATATTCTTTTTATAACAAAACACAATTATAAAGTACCTAGTAATAAATCTATGAAAGGATATGCTACGCATGGAGAAAATGCTAAGTCTCTGGAAGACACTTACAAGGTTAAAATGTTTGAGAGGAAGATCGGTTTTATAAATATGTCAATTTTTCTGAAAATATATAGATCAAATACACTTTCAAAGAAAATTACAGCCGACTTTTAAAAATTGTGGTAAAATATACATAACATAAAATCTACCATTGTAACCATTTTTAAGAACACAGTTCAGCGGCATTCACATCAAGCTATCGTCACCACTCTCCACCTCCAGAACTTTTTCATCATCCAAAACTAAAATTCTGTGCCCATTAAACAATAATTCCCCATTCCCTCCCCCGCCCGGCCCCGGTAACCACTATGTTACTTCCTGTGTCTATGAATTTGCTACTCTAGATAGCCCGTATGTGTGCGATCATAGAATATTTTCCTTTTTTGTATCTGTAGGTTTGGGGTTTTTTTTTTTTGAGGAACTTGACAAACTGATCCAAAACTTATATGGAAGTGTGAAAGACCCAGAACAGCCAACATCACTCTGAATCTCTATTATATATTAGTATATTATGTAATTATAAAGCTAGCATCATTGCAACAATGCATTGTTAGATTAAGGATATACAAACAGACTAGGAACAAAATAGCCCCAAAAATGGACTCCCACGTTTATAGAAATTTAGTACATGCCAGAGGGGGCCTTGGAGATCACTAGGAAAGGACAGTCAATCAGTAAACGGGGCTGGAACAACTGACAATCCCTAAGGGAGAAAACAATGAAATGAGATCCCTCCTCACACCATAGACTGAACCTAATGGATTCAAGACTTAAATGTGAAAGGTGAAACCCACGAACTTTAAAAAATATATATTTCATGGTCTCAAAGTAGACAAGGTGAAGAAAGTGTGGAATATAAACAAAAGATTGATAAATCCAATTGTAGCTTAAGAATTTATGTTGACCAAAAGGCACCACAAAGAAAATACAAGACAAACCACAAACTTGGGGAAGATGATTGTGACGTCTGTAACAGCAAAGGATGAAGAGCCCCTAAAAATCAGTAAAACAAAAATAATAGAAAAATTGGCAAAACACATGAACAGTTATTTCACATAAGAAGAAATTCAAATGGCAAATAAACATGTGAAAGCATGCTCAACCTTAATAGTAATAAGGAAAATGCAATTTAGAGTCACAGTAAGAGATTTTTTTTTTATATTGTATTCACAAAAATCAAGCCTGAAAATACCAAGTGTTGGGGAGGATATGGTTCCACAGGACACATGCTGCTCGTGGGGTATAAATTTATGCAATCACTTTGAAAAATAATTTGGCACTATCTAGTAAAGTTGAACGTCAGCACACCTACAACACAGCAATTTCACTCCTAGGTAATGTAGACTATTGAGTGTTTTCAAACAACAGATTGCAAATCACTAATGGGTCATGAAATCAATGTAAAGGATTGAGATCAATATTTCAAAAAATAAAATTAGAAAACATTAGGGAGCATGATGAGTGATAGGATGAGCAGTGTTTTATGAAATGTTTGCTTCAGTTGTGTCTATTGAGGGGGCACTTTACGGATGTGTGGGTGTCAGCAGTAATGTAAAATTTATTTCTTGCTCTGAGTCACAGCAACTAAATTTGAAAGCCCTGTAGAAACTCTTACACGTATTCCCCAGAAAACACATACAAGATTTTTCATAAGAGCTTTGCGCAAAATATCAAAAATGACCCAAATGTCTGCTGATATTGGAGATTAGAATGGATGAGTAAATAGTGGTACGTGTACATGATGAAATATGAGCAAAGAGAGCAGCTCTTCAGCTACCGGTAACAATTGGATGAATCTTAGAAACAAAATATTGAGAGAAAACAGGAAGCTACAGAATACCACATACAATACGCCTTATTTATCAAGCTTAAAAACAATACTAAAAAATCAATAGAGACAACCAAAGGCGTGGATCCTGAAGCCAGACTATCTGGGTTCAAATCCTAGCTCTGTCACTCATTAGCATGTAACCTTGGGCAAGATACTTAACCTCTGTGCCTTAGTTTCCTCATCTGGAAAATGGAAATAATAACCTACCTCATAGGGTATTTAGGATTAAACCCCATAAAGTGCTTGGAACAGTGAACATGCAATAAAGAGGGAACACAAGTAGAAAGAACAGAATTTAGCAATGTTCTGGCTCTCAAGTTGGGGAGGGTGCGCACAAGCATTGATGTCACATATTCGTGTATTTTTTGCATATGCCAAATATTGAAAATTTAAACAAGAGTGAGCTGTGCCACGACAAGGCACTCTTTGCACTCAGGCTCAATAAGAGGACACTGAGGGCCAAGGACGGTGACAGCCTGAGCAGCTACATACCTGGTTCTCAGCTTGTCTCCCCCAGACTCAGCCCAGCTCTGCAGCAGGCTAGTGATCGGTCTTTCTTCATACTGTTTGGTGTATTGAGCCAACAGTTCCCGCACCACCACCTGTGCACAGAGTTTACCGTTTGTCAGTCATTTGTCAAAAATGTAAAAAATGCCAGTGTCTTTAAATGCTGCAGCCAGATAAGGTCTATTCGCTTTGAGCAGACTCCTTGGAAGGAATCAAATACAAGAGCTCATGCTTCCAGGGGCCTCAATTTCCCACGGCCAGTGTGTGGTCTTACCTCACCGCTCTCAATCCGGACCCCGGGGCCAACCTGGCTGCCCAGCTAACCGCGCACTGCTCTCTATCCCCTGGAGACACCAGCCTCTAATGCCAGTCCAGCACCAGCTAGTTTAGTTGACACTTCAGATAAAACCTACCTGTCTTCCTTGGATCAGACAGATGGCTGGTCTGTCATCCTTTTGACTCTGATATTCTGTGGTTAATTAGACCTTTGTGAAATAGTATTAAAATGTACACACAAAATGATCTCTATCAATCTCTTCCTTCAGCAGCTTTAAAGTTATAATTCAGGCTTAAAATATTGTGCACTTTTCCAGGTTTGTTAAGAGAAGATGTCCATGGCTAGCCGGCTGCAGAGAGAGGCCCAGCTGACAGCTAGCAGCAACTGCTGGACACGTGAGTGGGACCACCTTGGACTAACCTGCTCCGCCAAGCCTCTAACTGGCCATCATGGTACGAGTGAGTCCAAAAAGACCAGCAGAAGAATCACTCGGGGTGAGCCCAGCCCAAATTGCTGACCCACAGAGCCATGACCTAACAATTGCTTGTTGTTTTAAGGTACCAAATGTTGGGGTCATTTGTTACACAGCAATAATTAGCTGATGCATTCTCATATGACCACCAATTTTAGACTATTTCCTTCTTTGTCTCATACACATTTGCGTTTTTATGTAGATTACATGTCACGTATGCTTTTAATCAATGGTATATCATAAGTGATATTTTGGGTTCACATTGCTTTTTGGATTCTATTTCTCTGTTTAATGACTGTATAATATTCCCTGTTTGGAAAAATCATAGCTAATTAAATCTTCCATTCATTTAAGATATTTCCATTGTTTCCAACTTTATACTGTCATTAATAACCTTGACATCAATATATTCAGACAAATAGCATTGTCCTTTTTATGATTACTATCTGAGAATAAGTCCCATGAGCTTGATGGATACAAAGGTTCTTAAAGAGGGCTAGCCTGCCTACGAGTGGGCTGTTGGAAACTTGGCAAAGCATATTTGCTGGGGGTAGCTTTCGTGGCACTGGTGGGCAGAGCCAGGTGTCAGTGCATGGGATAGCCTCAACCAAAAGAGGACTGTGTCACATGCAGTGTCCTGTCTAAGGTCACTTAGTCAAACACAAGCATCCAACTGACAGCCTGGAGCCTGACTCAGTTACACCAAAGCTTTCAGGTTCTTCCTGATCTGGGCCTGTGGGAGCATTAGACTCTCCTGCCCCCCGGGATGAGAGGTGGCCTGAAGACTTGCTTTGGGCCAGTCAGCTGATGTGATGTTCCCAGTTGTGACTGGTCCCTAGTCTGCTTTGGAGGCCGCCACAGTAACTCCACGCACGGATGCGGGCATTGATATGTCTTACTATGTTGTTACGTTTATTATAAATTACTTTCCCTTTGTTTCTTTGAAGGAGTTTCTTGAATTCTTGAAATTATGTCTCTAGATAGGTTATATTATCCAAGATTTCATTTCATGATAGAAAAGAGGGTGTTACAAAATATTTATTATAAAAAAGAGGGCATTAGACCCAATGAGCCTAAGCATCACTGTATTATGGGTCAAAGGACATTTTTTGGTTTTTTTGAGGAAGATTAGCCCTGAGCTAACATCCGCACCCATCTTCCTCTACCTTATATGTGGGATGCCTGCTACAGCATGGCTTGACAAGTGGTGCGTAGGTTCGCACCCGGGATCCGAACCAGCAAACCCCAGGCTGCCAAAGTGGAATGTGCGAACTTAACCACTGCGCCACCAGGCTGACCCCAGGACATAAATATTTTTAAGGCTGCTGCTATACAAAATAAGTGTGAAAATCAAACACTGCCAGCAATGGGAAAAATTAACTAGCTTTGACTAGAATTAAAATCAGAATGATATAGCAATCAACTTCAGTTTCACTGACACATCACTAGGATGAGCATTTACATTCTTTGTCTTTGCAGATCTTTTAAATTTATAATTTATTTGTCTCTCTCTTGTTACAAGAGCAACATCATTCTCAGCATTAAAAATTGCTTCCTCTGATTCTCACCCCTCCATTCTTTACATTGCTTTATTTTTCTACGTGGCATTTATGGCTACCTGATGACAGAGAGCACAACAATGTGCTTATTGGTTTGTCATCCTCCAGTCCCTGGAAAGTAAGTGCCAGGAGGTCAGAATTCCTTCATCCTTGTGCCATCAGACAACATGTGACATGGTCGAGAGGTGAGAAATCTTTGTTGACTGAGTGAATGACTAAATAATTTCCCTTCCTGTTTTCAATATCTTATCCAATCTGTTCAACTCCTTAACAATTTCTGTTAACTTTTGCCACAATGTCTACTTTTCTGATTTAAGCAATTTAAATTGGGAAAATGAACTCATTCTAACTAGATTTAAAATTAGAATGACATAATAATCCAGTTCAGGTGCTATACTTTTAAAACATAGACAAATTAGGTCCTGGCTAATATCACAAAAGCAGATCCCTCAGTTTGGACCTTTGCTCCTTTTTGCTCCTTGTTTGTGGCATCTCCCTTCCATTTCTAGGTCATGAGACAAGAGAACATGATTTTAAAAATGAGTTGATTTTCTGCTGTTCATGCCCCCTGAGTGAAAGATTAAGTGACTGAAGCTACAAGCTACCACGTGGTTTGGGCGTTACAGTCTCTAAATCCAAGACTTGATTTGATAAATGACCAGGGGGAGGCAAGGAGACATCAGTCACCATCCAGACTGAGCTCAATGATGTGCTTGTTTTTACCTCACAGGCAAGTTCCTGCATACACCTAATATACTATATTATATATACATTTATATATAAAATTCTCTAACTTTCTATTTTAAAATAGAGACACAAATAGTTGCCAAATTAAAATAGTACAGGTTTCATCTAGTCATCACCCCCATCCTCCCAAAAGCCATATCTTACACAGCAGCAGTGATTACCAAAACCAGGAAATTCAATCACATTTTTATACCTTGAATGTTTTAGTTGCAGTAGAGATTTCATTATTTTAAAAGGAACCCAGTAATAGATCATTTTGAAAATGAAATATTATTATTATTATTTTTGTTGAGGAAGATTGGCCCTGAGCTAACATCTGTGCCAGTCTTCCTCTATTTTGTATATGGGTTGCCACCACAGCATGGCTTGATGAGTGGTGTAGGTCCACATCCAGGAGCCGAACCTGCAAATCTGGGCCTTCCAAGCAGAGCGTGTGAACTTAACCATTACAATGGCAGGCCAGCCCCAAAATATTATTTTTTGGAATACAAATAATGACACCTTATCAAAGTCTAGTGTTTTAAATACTCACACCGGATTTTCTTAGGATAACTCGTGGTGTTACTTCTTTCTAGGTGATTATTTTGGTGGTGGTGTTGCTTCTGTGGGTATTTATGCAGTTCTCCGGTTCTACACGTGAACACTCTTTATTTTCTTCTATATACTTGATTAATTCACAGTGATTGAGTCCTGGTGCACCTGCTCTGGAGCCCCTTGCTTAAGAGAACTCTAGGGGACTGAGCAGTCAGAGCAGCTAGATTCTTTCCTTTTAAAAAGATTCCCATCTGCGAGAGAAATCAAGCTAATCCACAGCCAACATTTGGAAACTATGAGCCTAAGCAGTTGTGCAGAATAATGACATCATAAACATGCATTTATAATGACTATCACATGCATTAGGCAGCACTGATTATGTAACATCAATAAAAGTTATTTTTTAGGTCAAATGGTTTTTCAAGGCATCTATGAAACAACTAGCATTTCCGCACACTAAGTATTTCACTGACTTATGCCAGGTACAGTGAAGCTTGGATTAAAAAGTCTAATAAGAAGTGTCTGCTGCCAAGGCAGAAACACTCAGAGCCAATTAGAACAGAAAAACGCAGTGTCTAAGGAAAAGCCACCAGACGTCGTCCACCCTGTAACAAGGACGAGCCAGGCAGCGGGGCGCCCTCAGCGGAATGACCATGTAGGCCCACGGAGTCACTCAAAGTGGCAGTACTTATGGCATTGGGGTCCCAAAGCATGCCCCAGGCAGGGCTGGCTACATAATAATACATAATGGGCGCAGGGCAAAATGAAAAAAAGACCAAGCGGACATGATCCTCCACTAGGCATTTTAACATTTTACCTCTTTAGATGCTGGACAGCCCATCAAGGCAAGATTTCTTTAAGGAGACTGTGTGAAGAGTCCCTGCCTAGAAGAAAAGAAAGAGAGAGAGAGAGAGGGAGAGAGAGGGAGGGAGGGAGGGAAAGGAAGGAGAGGAAGAACGACTTTTAATTAACACATAAACCAACACGTACGTACACCGCTCTGAGTAATTGCTGGACCTCTCACATGGACTCGAACTTTATCCTGAGGAGGATGGACGGGTGCAAAACACTGATTTAAGCCCAGAAAAATTCACGCACCGCTCAACTGAACTTAAGAGTGGTTAGTTTTTGTTTGTTTGGTTTTTAGTTAAATCTAGACCAAATTTAACTTCTCTTCCCACTGCCTCTTCTCAACAGAAAATAAAGTGCATCTTTTTGGTTTCTTTCCTTCATCCCACCCGCATTTATGCAGCACCTACTATGTACAAGGCCCCTGCTGTCTCCATGGAGCATGGCGGGGATTAAAAAGATGAATAAGAAAGGTCTTCCCCCGAGGGGCATCCAGTCTTGTAGGGAGATCAGCATTCACACAGACAACCACACTAGGTGGCATCTGTCAGGAACATGACAGGCACAGAAGCACAGCGAGTCCAAGGAGACCCCTTTCCCGTGAAGATCAGGGAAGGCATCCCGGAGGAAGCTTCATTCATGGATAAGCTTCATTCATCTGTGCGTTCATTTATTCATCGCCTGATAGTAACAATTGCCATTCTCTTTCAGTGTCTACCAAGGCTAAGCCCTGTTCCAAACTCCTCACATGGAGTTTAATTTAATGCTCATGAAAACTCTAGGTAGTTAACAGAATCATCCCATTGTCCAGATAAGGCAACTGAGGCCCAGAGAAGTTAAGCAAGCTGCCAGGGTCACACAGCCAGGGAGTGGTGGGGCTGGGACTTAAAACCAGAGTCTATGCTCTTCATAATTCCACACCTACGCTGCACCTACTGTGCGCCAGGCTCTGTTGGGCTTTGGGGATATAAAGACAATGCAAGAACCCACAATGTGTGGGGAGACAGGCAGGGACGGACAGTAGGAGAGTACAACGTGGCGAGGGGGACAGAGGTAAATTCAGAGTTCAGTGGGTTGAGGGACAGGCAGGGGAGGGAAGCACACTAGGAACCAAGCCACTCACACTTGACTTAAGTTCTGAAGCTGAGAAGGAACTGGGGAGAGGAGACAGGGCTTTCCGGCTGCAGGAAGAGCACCTCAAAAGGCACAGGCGCACGGAGAAGCAGGAGTACCCGGAGTGCGCAGCAGGCAGGCTGGGGGCAGGGGCCAGACGTGAAGGGCCTTGGCCACCAGCCTAAGGAGCTGACTCATCCTCAGGGTCATGGTGAGCCAGTGACAGGCCGGAATGTCAGCACCTGGAGGCTGCCAGATGAGCCACCTCTGCTATTTCTGGTCGGAAATGCTGACCCACAGAATCCGTGAGAGCAACAAAGTGGTTGTGGTGTTATGCCACTAAGTTTGGAAGTTAGGGGTGGTTTGTTATGCAACAGACAATGGAACAGGGAATTCTTCCAGTCCCTCTTATCCTTTATCTCCTTCTTCCCTGCTCTTTCTCTCTTTCTCTCCCCTGCTCCACTCCCGTATCATCCTCCCCCCTCCCCTCCTTCCTTCTCCTTTCTCTTCCTCTTCCTCCCTCCCTCTCTCTCTCTCTAAAAGGTGGATGATGCCCATTGTACAGGTGAGGCTCTAACTCTGAGAGAGGCTAGACCGAGGGCTTCACCATCAGTCAGTGTCAGGGAAACCTGATGATGAGGCCTCCCTCCCTGGCTTCCGAGGGCGTCCTTATCCAGAGCCCCCTCCTTTGCAGCCTCTTGTGGTGAAGGCTCAGATAAGGGCACTTCCTGTTGCGAGAGGTCAGCCCCAACCCCGAGGTGTGCCAGGTAAATTCCGTGCAACGTACTAGACTGCAGGAAGGGACCCTGAGATGCTCACCCTTTCTCCGCATGCCTCCCAGGGAGGGGCACCCACCTCATCCATCCACTTCTAAAGCCATATTTTCTAGAGTAGAAACTTTCAAAGGCCGTGAGCAGGGTTAAGAGGTTTACATCTGTGGAGTGCCAGGCTCTGCGTCCCAGCCCGCCCCACAGATGTGTTTTGTTTGACTACCCCCAGCCCTTTAACATTGGAAACGAATTGTGTGCTCCCCTTCTCTTGAAAGGTAGGGCTTTCTAGGAAGCCTGAACCCACGTTCCCTCGAGGCACAGTCAGAGGGAGGTAAGCAGCAGCCCCCTGAAGAGGGGCAGGGATGCCTGGGTTTGCCCCAGCCCCCAGGGTGCGCTATTTCATGGACTTACTGCAGTTTTTAGGTCTCTGCCCTGAAAACCAGCGGTTTGGTGAACCCTTAAGGGGCAGGCCTAGTCCAAGGATCCCACACAATGGGTATGAGGAGGCTGGGAGCCCCTGTCGCCCACCCTGTCCAGCCCGCTGCCCTGATGAATCGGCCATCTGTGAGCACACCTACCCTGCGGGCAACTGCTGCCTGCTACTAGTCACAACTCCCGTGTCCCACACAGACTGCTCTTTCCAGCCCACACCCCTTCTCACTAAAGAAGTGGAAAATGCCCCATGCTCACCCTCCGCTTCCATCCAGCTAGGGCATCGGCAAACTGCACAGTCCTGGCCAGTGGGACCTGAGGGGAACTCCGCCGAGGGCTTCTGGGGAAGGTTTCCCTAATGCCTCACGAGTGGAGGACGCTGATGAGACCACCCGGAACCATGCGGATGTCAGCGGAGTTGAATGCTGGAAAGAGGCTGGGGCATCAAGAGCAGACAGGCACTGAGCCAGCCCTGGGGTCGCCACGGAGGATGAGAGAGTTCCTATGGTCTGGGCCATGTTGGTTGGCTGTTCTATGCCACATGGCCAAATGTGTCCTGACTGATAACCCCATAAGCAGCTGGGTCCAAGTTGGACTCCCCAGAGCTAATCTGCCCACTTTCCCCAGGGCAGGGCGGTGCTGCTGTCGCCCCAGGTTTTCCCACCCTCATCCCTCTCCCATCCCCCTCCTCTCCCCCCGCCCCACTGTGCGTGCAGGCCCATCAGGCCCCTCCTGAAGCCCAAACCTTAACAACAACAACAAGACATCCAGGGTAGCTGGAATCGACAGTACTTGTGTACTTATTTATTTTTAATTAAAAAGAGAAAGTAATCGACGTCTTTAAATCTTCGACTAAATAAATAAATAAATAAATGACAATGAGAAGAAATCCTGCGACGTTTTCTACAACTCGAGTGACGGTACAGACCCCTTCCGAAGGGAAAAACATGTTCTCCTTAACCCCCAATGTTGACTTAAGTTGTTTCAAATTATAATGTTACTTAGACCTGTTCAAACACAAAACTAGATATAAACACCTTATGTTTATAGCTCTTGTTCAACTGTAAACTATGAAATTAAATACAAGCAAAACTACAAAACCAATGAGATTCAAATCTACAGCCCTAATGACATGTGGCAGACTGCGTCCTGCAGCATGAACTTGGCCCCCCTTGGCCCAGGAAGGTTCCCGTGGGCGGGTCATGCCCACACCGCCAAGGGCTGGGGGGAGAAGCCCGGCCCCCTCCAGTCTCCCTGAGGGCCTGGGAACCCTCCCTCCAGCAGCGCCTCGTACCATCCAACCCTTGGCCTTCACCTGGCACAAACACGTCTTTTTAGTCACAGAAAACCTGCATCTGTTCTTTCCTTGTCGGTCCCTGGTGATCCAGGTGTTGTTACTTGGTGCCCAAGGGCTTAAAAACACCAAGACCCGGGCGGGGAGCCCACGGCACTCTCTGGTTATACAGTTGTTACCCAGACAATCTATATAACTCAGACTATTTCTATTATCATCAAAATCAAAAGTTAACAGATTCCTGTAAAGAATTCATAGCTTCCAATTTGAAAAACAATACCAAAATCAATTTGGCTGTACGGAAAATGAGGAAGTCACTTTGGGGAGCAGAAAAGTCAAGATAAGCAAGCGGCCCAGATTCAGATTCAGAAGGCTCCCTTCCTTCAAAATCTCACACGCCGAGTCCTCGAGGGGAGCTTTCAGTATTTAGATGCTGGGGCATCTGGTCTGGAAAAACTTAGCGCCAGCTTTGTGTACGGGCCAATGGGTTAGAAAGAGAGAAAGAGGATGTGTGTCTGAACAGCCCTGGTCAGCTTTTCTAAGAGTGCATCCTCCCCAAACCCCTCCAAGGGCTCCCACACGCCCACATTTTGTAAACGTTTGCTGTCAATTGCATCCCCTGAGGAGATCTTCCAGCCGTCCTCCTCGCTCCATTTCCTGGCCTGGGCGCCACCTCCCTCCTCTAGGCTGAGACTCCGCCCCAAGCCCACTCCTGGCAGCTCCACCCTCGGCCTTCACGGCCCTCACCAGGCAGCCCTCTGCCTGCCTCTCTGGTTTCATGTCACATACCTCCTCCTAATTGTTGCTGCCATCATGCGGGGGGATTCTGGGCATAACTCTCCATCTGTAGGTGTTTGGGACGATCCCTTGAACTATTAGCTCCTGATTCTGCCGGGTCAGGCAGGCCCTCAGCCTGCCCCCTTATCTTTCTCTCCAAGAGGCCCTCGGAAGAGGAAGGCAGCTGATCTTTAGGTAAGCAGAACTGTCACCCCTAACCCCATCACTCCTGTGGCAGCTGCTCCTCATACCCTTGCCGTTGCCTTCTGGATCTCAGACCCTTTAGAACCGATGCTCCGTGGACCTGCGATTGGGTTGACTCAAACTTCCCCTCTGATTTTAGGGGTCTGTGCACTTTATTCCTTCTGGCATCTCAATAGCTCCACCTGCTGATCCCTGGGCCTCACCTTCAGCCAGAAGGTTGGGGCCCCAGGAGAATGTTCTTAGGTTTATTGCGTGATTCCTACCTGGAACAGAGGGAGCCCAGGTTCTTCAGGCTGAGGTCCTGTCCTCACTGGCCACCATACCAGTCCCAAGACCCCATTCTAACACCTGATGTCTTGCTTGTCTTGGGGAAGAATTTGGAATTCTCCCCAACAGTGGGGGTGTGGAGAACACTACGGCTGTAGGGTAAGGGCCATGTGTGTATTTGTGTGTGTGTGTGTGTGTGTGAGAGAGAGAGAGAGAGAGACATCAGCCTTTGTTCTCTCTCTCAGAGAGGACTTCCTTTCTTTGTCACTCTTCATTCTTTCTCTTTCCTTCCCTCCCCCCCTTAAATATAAAAAGAGTTTTTTAAAGTGGTTTTAAATATACTTTATTTTTAAAATTTAAGCCATATGAAATGGTCTTAAATGAAAAGGAAAACCCCTTACCTCCAGGACCTCACTCCAGAAATAACCCTTCTTAAGTAGTTTTTGTTCTGCTAGAAAGAGATTCTTTCAAGTGTGAAGGTTAAACAGATTCTCATGCCATGTTTTCGTTTGCTCCATTTTTGGAGCATGCTTTTCTTGAGTGGCTTTGTTTTTTCTGGAGCCTTACTGGACTTTTCCCCCCTTCATCCAGAAGAAACCTGTGCCTCTTCCATCGCACCAGTAAGATCTTCCTGCTTCTTAATCGCTCTATTTGTTGTACTGAAAACATTTCCTTCTTGAAGTCATTCTTTTGACCTGTCTGACTTCCTGATCTAATTTGGACTAACGGTGTTCTGGCCTTGGCCACGGCACCACTATGCAGGTGTTTCTTTACATGAACTCCCCTTGGGTTAGCTCTAGAAAGCAGACGTGTCTTTCTAATTCTTAATTCATTTTATCCTTTTCTGTAGTTCACCTACAGGTAATATTTTTCAGAGAGTGCATGGCAGGTAAACTTATTGAGCATTTGAATATCTCCAAGTCTTTATTGTGCCTCACATTTGAACAATAATTTGGCTATCTATGAAGTTTTACATTCAAGATAACATTCTTTTGAATTCTGAATGGAACAAGACATTGTTCCATTTTATTCTAGAGTCTTGCCACTCAAAGTGTGGTCCACAGACCAGCAGCCTCAGCATCACCTATGAGCTTGCTGGAAATTCAGAATCCCAGGACCCACCCCGGGATCTGAATGTGAACGAGATGCCCAGGGATGTACAGGCGTGTTAAGAGTTGCGAAGCGCCGTTCCAGCAGTCGACTCTGCTGCTGGGAGGGCTGAGGTCAAGTGACTCTCTTTTCTTAGTAAATAATCTGATGTTTTTTCAGTCTAAGGCTGGCGGCCCTCTCTTTGTCTTTACTTGGTGATCTGAAATTCTCTAGGCTATTTTTGGCTCTGACCTTTCCCAGTGGGTCCTGCTAATCTCAAGACTTCTGCCTTTCTTCAGATCTGGGAAATTTTCTTCTTTGATTTCTCAGATTTTGCTGCCTGTCTGTGTATTCTGCTCCCCGTTTCAGGACTGTCATCGATTTCCTACCTGGAGCATCCACATCTCTTAGCCTTTCCCTTTTATTTCCTTTCACTTTGATTTTTCTGATCTTCATTCTGAGAAGTATACTCAAACTTATCCGTTAGCCCTTCTATTGGATTTGTTTTTATATTTCGCAAACATATCACTTTAATTTACCGTGGTTCTCTGCACTATGGTTACTGTGTTCTAACACACTATGGTTCTCTGAATGCTCACTTTTCATAGCAGGCTGTTCTTGCTTGATGGCTGCAGTGCTGTCCTGCATCTCTAGCTACTGATTACTTTTTGTTTCTCTGTTTTGTTTCCCCCAGTGCCAGTAGTTCTGTTTGTTCATCTTGCTCCTTCTTTTTCATGTTGTTGATTTTCCTTGTGTGTCTGATCATCCTTATTAGACAGTATGATGGAAGTATTGTTCATTTGCTTATGTGTGATGATGGTATTATGCTTATGTAAGAAAATGTCCTTATTTTAGACATTTAGGGATGCAGTGTCTTGATATCTGCAATTTCCTTTCCAATGGTTACATGCACACAAACACATAGAGAGAATAAGAAAGAGAACACTGAAATATAGCAAAGTATTGACATTTGGAAGTGAAGAATACACACACCCAAGTGTTATTGCACTAGCCTTCCAATTTCTCTCTCGAAATTTCTGTTTGAAAATTTCATAGTAAAAGCTGGAAATAATAAGAAAAACAAAACACAAATATCTGAATATCCTTGGGAAAATACCCCTGAGGGCCTGAAATCCCTAAGGAATCAGCTTTCTTATAGGAAACTACGGTCTTTAAGCAAGTTAGGCTACAGGTCATTTGCATTTCTGTGTTTTTGCTCTCCTTGCGGAATAATGAACAAGGTTTGCAAAGCTGCTGACTGCTGCTCTTTAGGAAATGGGCCCGGCTGGATTAGAAAGGCACCTGTCCTGGTGTATCTCTAATGCAGCAAAAGAAAGTTATAATGGGATTTCATGGGTGTGGGCGGTAATTGGATTTGGTGGAAGATGTAATTAAATTTCACCAAAGGCCTACAACCTCTGCCCCAGGAGAATAACGAAAGGGTCAGAAGACCTTCCATCTTGCTTGAAGGGAAATACGTGAAGCCTGAAGAAACTCGAAAGCACATGCCTGCTCCCTTACCTCTCCTCCATCCTGGGACCACAGGCCCAGCACCGCCAGGACTGCTAGAGTCTCACCTCCAAGCAGAGGGTTGAAAGCACTGAGGTAACACCAGAATCCTGTGAAACTCATTAACCAGTTTCTGTCCCTGAAATTTCTAACTCTACTTCTGTAAGTAGAATGAAAAAAGCATCCAGCCCAGAAAAGGGTAGCCCCCGCCCCCCAAGTATGGACAGATGCCAACACTCAAGTGGAAGGCCAGTTTGAGCAGTGCAGACAGCCAGCGCCACTTTCCTCATCACTGTGTGGATGCGGGGCAGCCACGTCAACTGATAGGTTTCCTGTACGGCGTGTCAGCTGGTGGCAAGCAGGCAGGCTGACTCTGTCCCCAGCACAAAGCGTCTCCATCTCTCACTCTAGGAGACCAAGCCCTCCCTGGGTCCTTCCCAGAGCAGGTTTCCAGAGCCGTGGTAGATGCTACTGCTGCAGGCAAGTGCTCTGATGTGGGAGGCTGGCTGTCCTGCTGTTAGGCAGGCTTTGCAGAAATGCCTGGCTCTGCGCCCAAATCCCTCTCCTGCTTTCAATGCCTGTGACTCAGCGTCTCTCCAGAGACGGCCAGAGGAAGCAACTCCCACCTCCGGCTGTGTCCACTTGGTTGATCCCTCAATTCATCCTATCTGCTGTCCCTTCTCCAGAAGTTTACCAAACTCCTTGGTCCTCGGATGGTCCCTCTCCCACTGTCAATACCCCTGCACATCTGCTTCTTTCTATTCTTTCTTCCAGTTATTTCAAGAGGATCTGAAGATGGAGAAACAGCAACGCGGGTGCTCATGCCATCATCCTGAACCAGACTCCTCCCCTTGGTTTTTAGTCCTCCAATGCACGCTGCAGTGTCTAAGTATCTTCTTCTTTCCTTCTAATTCTGGATGCCTTGAGATTGCTTCCCTATCCATCACCTTTAATTCTCCCTCTTGTTACCAATAAAATCAGGAATGGCATCTGCCTTATTGTGTGGCACCGTTGTAGAAAAGAGTTAACACAGCAGGCCTGAGACTGCTGCTCTTCGAAAGGGCTGCCTGCATGGACGGCCCTCGGCTGGCATCGGGGAACCTGGATTTGGGGAGGGTTCCCACCTTCGCTGACTGATAAGTGTGGCTCCCTCTGCCTGACCTGTGCAAACAATACGGTTTGTGCTCACCATCCGTTTTCCTTCTGAAAGCCTGGAATGTTGATATGTGCCAGGCAGAGAGTGCCTACAGGACCAGCCCCCACTAAAAACCCTTGCGTGCTGAGTCTCTAATGAGCTGGTAAACGACATTTCACATGTGCCATCACAATTCTTTCTGGAAGAATTGAGCATGTCCTCTGTGACTCCAGTGGGGCAGGAGTCTTGGAAGATCATGCCTGGGTTCCTTCGGTTTTTGCCCATGTGCCGTGTTCCCTCTGCTGATTTTGTGTTTTACCCTTTTACTACAGTAAATCCTAACCCTGATTATGGCTACATGCCAAGTCCTGTGAGACCTCCCAGGGAACTGTCAAGCCTGAGGGTGGTCTTGGGGACCCTTGACACACACCACTTATAGAATAAGTGTTTCTAGCTGTTGTTAAGCTTCGATTGTGGCTTGAGGTAGTACTTTTCCAGCACATGTCTGGAAGATGTCTGTCTGAAAAATTGGCCAAAGAAGATCTACACAATCTGGTTTTAAGGTTTCTAGTGGTCTCCTTTCTAGCCGACCGTAAAACCAGACCATCCCTGGCTTCCTTCCTCAGCCCGGCCCTGAAAGCCCTTGTATGGATGGGTTCTCACGGCACAGGTGTTCTGCCTCTGTGCTGGCATGTGTCCTCCTGAGCAGGCAACTCAGTCTCCCTGCCGCCCAGCATCCCTGCATCCCTGCCCTCTGTGGTCCAGCATCCCTCCCTTTCATTGCCCACGCTCCCATTTACATGACAAAAGCAAGCCGTCCCTGTTCCTCCCTGTGCTTCCACTTCTCTTCATAGAAACTGTGACTGCAACTGCATTCCCATAACTAAATTAAACAACCTTTCCATAGTGCCCACAAGCTTGCAATTACAGCATTGAATCACAACTTTAGGCTCAAGCAATGTTGAACCACGTGCTTGGGTTTAAAATATACTCCCTAAGAGAAAGTTGTAGAAAAACCTCACACACTTGGAGCACCAGGAGAGAGGGAGAATGTGAATTAGTGCTATGTCTGATTACTGGATATTCTTAAAGAGCAGGTTTTTTAAAAAACAATATTTAGATAGGAGGGAGACAAAAGAACAGGCAATTTTTAAATCTAGACCAAATTCAATGGCAATTCTTAAATAATTCCCCTCAAATAATTTACTTTACTATAGATATCTAAAAAGCTAAAATAATAGGAGGGTAGGGGAGAGGTGCCACTGAGTACCATGTAACATTTTAGTTTTCAGTGGACTAAACTTATGCGTGGCTAGCACTCTAAAAAGGTCTGCATGACTCTTCCTTAGTAATCAGGTCCTCTGCCCGTTTTTTCTCTTTTTTTTAAACTGAGATATAATTGACATATACATTGTATAAGTTTAAGGTGTACAATGTGGTGTTTGATACATTTATACATTGCAGTATGATCACTGCAGTCACATCAGCTAAAACTTTAGCATGTCACATATTTATCATTTTTTGTTGTTGGGAACAGTTAAGATTTATTCTCCTAGCAACTGTGAATCTTATAACACAGTATTGTTGACTCTCATCACTCTGCTGTGCCTTAGATCTCCAGAACTGATTTATCTACTAGTTGTAAGTTTGTGCCCTTAAACAATATCTCCCCAATTTCCCCATCCCCAGCCTCCGGTAACCACCATTCTACTCTTCTGTTTTTATAAGTTCTGTTTTTTTAGATTCCACATATAAGTGAGATCATACAGGATTGTCATTCTCTGACTTATCTCACTTGTCATAATGCTTTTAAGGTCCATCCATGTTGTCACAAATGGCAGGATTTCCTTCTTTCTCATGGCTGCATAATTCCTCTGTGTGTGTGTGTGTGTGTGTGTGTGTGTGTGTGTGTACACTACATCTTCTTTGTCCATTCACCCAGTGATGGGCACTTAGGTTGTTTCCGTATATTGGCTATTGTGGATAATGCTGCAATGAACATGGGTGTGCGGATATCCCTTTGGGATACTGTTTTCAATTTCCTCAGATACATACACAGGAATGAGATTGCTGGAGCATATGGTAGTTTAATTTTTAATTTTTTGAGGAACCTCCATATTGTTCTCCATAGTGGCTGTACCAATTTACATTGCCACCAACAGTGCACAAGGGTTCCCTTTTCTCCACATCCTAGCCAATATTCGTTATCTCTTGTATTTTTAATAAAAGCCATCCTAACATGCATGAGGTATCTCATTGTGGTTTGGATTTGCATTTCCCTGACGATTGGTGCTGTTAACACCTTTTCATGTACCTGTTGGCCATCTGCATGTCTTCTTTGGGAAAAATGTCTATTCAGGTCCTTTGCCCATCTTTTAATTGTATTATTTTCTTTTTTGCTGTTGAGTTGTATGAGTTCCTTATATATTTTGAAAGTTAATCCCTTATCAGATATATGGCTTACAAATGCTTTCTCCCATTCGGTAGGCTGCCTCTTCATTTTACAGATTGTTTCTTTTGCTGTGCAGAAGCTTTTTAATTTGATATAGTTCCACTTGTTTATTTTTGCTTTTGTTGCGTGTGTTTTCGGTGTCATATCCAAAAAAACTGTTGGCAAGACCAACGTCTAGGAGTTTTTTCCCCTGTGTTTTCTTCTAGAAGTTTTAGTTTCAGTTCTTATGTTTAAGTATTTAAACCCCTTCAAGTTAATTTTTGTGAGTGCTGTAAGGTAGGAATACAATTTTATTCTTTTCCATGTGGATATCCAGTTTTCCCAACTCCGTTTACTGAAGATGCTATCCTTTCCCCACTGAGTATTCTTGGCTCCCTTGTCAAATATTAGTTGACTGTATATGCATGGGTTTATTTCTGGGCCCTTGGTTCTGTTCCATTGGTCTATGTGTCCTTTTTTATACTGGTACCGCATTATTTTGATTATTATAGCTTTGAAATATAGTTTGAAATCAAAAAGTGCGATGCCTCCAGCTTTGTTCCTCTTTCTCATGATTACTTTGGCTCTTTGGGATCTTTTGTGGCTCCACACAAATTCTAGGATTGTTTTTCTATTTCTGTGAAAAATGCCCTTGGAATTTTGATAGGAACTGCATTGAATTTATAGATGGCTTTGGGTAGTATGGAAATTTTAACATTAATTCTAACATTAATTTTAACATTAACATTTTAATATTAATTCTTCTGACCCATGAACATGGGACACATTTCCATTTATTGCCTTCTTCAATTTCTTTCATCAAAGTCTTATAGTTTTCAGTGTACAGATCTTTCACCTCCTTGGTTATATTTATTTCTAAGTATTTCATTGTCTTTGATGCTGTTATAAATGAGATTGCTTTCTTGATTTCTTTTTCAGTTACTTTCTTGTTAAGGTATAGAAATGCAACTGATTTTTGTATGTTGATTTTGTATCTTGCAACTTTACTAAATTCACTTATTAGTTTCAACAATTTTTTTGGTGGAGTCTTTAGGATTTCAATATATAAGATTATGTCATCTGCAAATGGAAAAAAATTTTACTTCTTCCTTTCCAATTTTGATGTCTTTTATTTCTTTTTCCTGCCTAATTTCTTGAGTAAGGGCTTCTAGTACTCCCATTCTACATAGCAATAATAGAAAAAAAAAGCTCTCAAACTTTTACTGTTGAATATGATGTTAGCTGTGGTCCTGGGATATATAGCCTTTATTATGTTCAGGAATATTCTTTCTATGCTCCATTTGTTGAGAGTTTTTATTATGAAAGGATGCTGAATTTTGTCCAATGCATTTTCTGCATCTATTGGGATTATCATATGATTTTTATCTTTCATCCTATTAATGTGGTGGATCACTTTTATTGATTTACGTATGTTGAAACACCCCAGTACCCCAGGAATAATCCCACTTGATCACGGTATATGAGCCTTTCAGTGTGTCGTTGAATTCAGTTTGCTAGTATTTCTTTTGAGAAGTTTTGCATATATATGCATCAGAGATATTAGTCTATATCTATAGTTTTCTTTTCTTGTAGTGTCTATATCTGCTTTGGTATCAGGGTAATGCTGCCCTTGTAAAATGAGTTTGACGATGTTCCCCCACTTCTGTTTTTTGGAAGAGTTTGAGAAGGATTGGCGTTAATTCTTCTTTAAATGTTGGTAGAATTCACCAGTGAAGCCATCTGATGCTGGCCTTTCCTTTGTTGGGAGATTTTGATTACTGACTCAATCCCCTTACTCATTATTGACCTGTTCCGATTTTCTATTTCTTCATTATTCAGCCCTGGTAGGGTGTATACTTCTAAGAATGTATCCATTTCTTCTAGGCTATCCATTTTGTTGGTTTACTTGTTCACAGTAGTGTCTTAACAATCCTTTGCATTTCTGTAGTTTCAGTTTTACTGTCTCCTCTTTCATTTCTGAAATTTTACTTATTTGACTCTCCTCTTTTTGTCTTAGTGTAGCTGAAGGTTTGTCTATTTTGTTTATCTTTTCAAAAACTCAGATCTTACTTTCATTGATCTTTTCTATTGTTTTTCTGGTCTCTACTTCATTTGTTTCTGCTCTGATCTTTGTTATTTCCTTCCTTCTGTTAACTTTGGGCTTAGGTGGTTCTTCTTTGTCTAGTTCTTGGAGGGGTAAAGTTAGGTTGTTTATTTGGGGTCTTTCTTTTTTCTTAATGTAGGCATTTATCACCATAAATGGCCCTCTAAGAACTGCTTTTGCTGTGCCCTGTAAGTTTTGGGATATTGTGTTTCCATTTTCGTGTTTTCAAGATATTCTTTTACTTCCCTTTTAAATTTCTTCTTTGAACATTGATTATTGAGAAGTGTGTTGTGGAATTTCCACATAGTTGCGAATTCTCCAGTT